CATCCCACATGTTCTTCCAGTAACGTCCTTGTCAAGAAATAGGATCCATGTCCCCTCTCCTTGAACATGGGCAGACCTCAGCCAGCCGCAGCAGCAGCTTCCAAGGGTAGACAATAAGAACGCCAGGTTCCCTGCAGACCCAGCTGCCATGCTGTGGGGAAGCCCCAGCAGCTACGCTGAGCCCCACGTAGAGAACCAGACCCGCAGCCCTGGTCCAGCAGGGCTCCCAGACACAGCCCTATGGACAAGCCGACCTGGACTGGGCAGTCCAGCTCCCTGCAGAGTCACCCCTCAGAGCGCCACCCAAATCACACATTCAAGGGTGAAAGAAGTGTCTGTTCTTCGAAGCCAGTAAGTTTAGGGGTGGTTGTTACAGTTGATAACTGATGCGCGAGGGCTGGGCCCTGGTACACCCCAGCACAGCAGCTGTAACTGCCGTCCAGCCGAGACAGGAGGGAGGAAAGAAGGGGGCAATTTGGGACATGCTTAGGGATGGGGTCTCCAGAGGATAGGACTGGACATGGGGGTGAGGGGCAGTCCTGGAGGGCTGTGGGAAGAGGGGTGGCAGGCCTACTGGCTGAGCTAAAGCTTGTTGGAAGAGGACCAGGCTGTGGGGACACCCCTGGGAGCAGCCAGCTGGCCGTCTGGGTCTAGGGTCTGTGGCCAGGAAGTAAAACTGCCAGTTAGATGTGGACAAGACCCTGTCCCTCCCAGGCAGTTAGCAGCTGAATCATGCCTCTGCCCCAAACTCATATGTTGAAGTCCTAACTCCCAGCACTTCTGAATGTGACTCTTTGGAAATAGAGTCATTGCCAAGGTACAGTTAAGATGAGGTCACTCTGGACGAGGGTCAGCTCCTAATTCAGCAGGACCAGTGTCCTTGTGAAAAGGGAGCCTTCAGTGCAGACAGGCACACAGGAAGGACATCATGGGAAGAGGACAGAGGTCAGAGTGGTGCTCCCACAAGCTACGGAGAACCAAGGATTGCCAGCACCCCGGCAGCACAGAGAGGCCAGGCACAGAATCTCCAGAAGGAGCCATGCCTGCCCACACCTGTGCTCAGACTTTCTGCCCCTAGAATTCTGCTGTTCTCAGCCACCCAGCTTGAGGTTCTCTGTTACAGCAGCCCCTGGACACTGACGCAGCCCTCAGTCTGCCATCATCAGTGGGGGCCAGGTGCAAAGCTGCCCAGGGGAAGTTCCACAGACGGGCTGGGCCCCTCCATTCTCCTCCTGGTGGAGGCAGGTGGGGTGGGGAGGCCTGTCAGTGCCTTGGGCCTGGAGCACAGCTCTGTGTCCGAGCAACGTCCTCACCCAGACCCCGCGGGCAGCATAGTGGCCGGTGTACATGGCTGCCCCATTCAGTACCAGCAGTTTCCAGGGGCAGACTAGCATTGATTGAGCACCAGCTGTGCACTTCCCATATGCTTCTGACATGACAACAGACAAACTTCTATTCATCCTTTGAAGCCCAGCTCAGGACTCACCCCCTCCTTGATGGCATCCCTGGGGCAACCCAAGAGGTGGGGAGGCCCACAGCCTATGTGACCCAGGTCCCCTGGGCATCCCCTTATTTTCCAGTAGGCCTCCAAACAAATGGGACAGAGGTGTGTTAGTCTTCCCAGGAAGCTGTGTGCACTTCTTGCAGCTGTAACTGCCGTCCAGCCGAGACAGCAGGGAGGAAAGAAGGGGGCAATTTGGGACATGCTTAGGGATGGAGTTTCCAGAGGATGGGACTGGACATGGGGGTGAGGGGCAGTCCTGGAGGGCTGTGGGAGGAGGGGTGGCAGGCCTACTGTTTTTATCTGCCCCAGTTCTTGACACAGGGACTAACACACTGTAGGGTCTTAATAAATGTTTGTTGAATGAATCAGCAAATGTTTGGTCTAGTGGATTTGGCCCAGTGGAATCGAGCTGTCTCTGAGTTTGTTCTTAAGGTGACAAACACCGCTTTGCTGCATACAAGGAGGATGTGGCCTGTCGGTGCCCTGACATGGCACCTGCTGGGCCCCAGAGTCAAAGGGGAAATCCAGCGGTCTTTCTGGAGGAAATGACATCTGAGAGCACTCTTTGAAACACAGATAAATTTAATCTGCCCAAGATAAGGAAAGGAAGATGTTTCCAGAAGTGAGTGAGGTGGCAGGATACAAGCCTGGAATGGGGAGTGAGGGCTGCCCAGGAGGCCCCACCCTGGCAGAGGTCAAGCTCAGAACCCACCAACCACACCCACATTGCAGTCCCTGCCCTCCCACAGCCGATCCTGCCTGCCCTGGAGGGTCAGCAGGCCATAGCTTTCACACGCACCTAACAGGGCCCCCAGGAGACAGAAGGGATGTTAAGTGTGGGCAGTGGGGACCTCTAGGCGCCCAGCCAGTTACCTGGGATGTGGCCACTCCCCAGCACGCACCTGGGCTGTCCCTGATCTTAGTGGAAAGTCACCAAGCCCCGCTGTGGCCCTGGGGACCTGCTCCAGCTCAGGGCCTCAGTCCCCCATTTGTCAATGAGGGGTCACACCGGGTCCAGCCCCCATGGCAGGCTTCCGCTGCACTGCACTCCTGGCCGGGCAGTCAGGCCCAGCAGCCTCCGTTCAAGCTGACCCTGGCACTGGCCTGGCCAGCACTGCCCTGGTGTCCGCCAGGAAGTGAGCGGATCAGTGGCTGTACTTTGGCACTCGCCAGGTCTGTTTATTTTCATAACCAATTCAATATTTAAGAGCCGGCCAGCCGCGGGAGCTCTCGGGCTCCCCCTTCCTTTGTCTCGGCTCCCCTCCTCCCACGGCCCTCCGCCGATTCGGATGGGAAATTCATTAGCCGGCTCCCTCCCCTTCCCGCATTCCCAGCCAGCTCCGCGCTGATGTGTCAGCCTCTCCATCCTGATTATCTGGAGACGCCAATTTCAAAGAGACATCTTAATAGTGATGTCAACGAATTAATTAGATGTGTTAATGAGCTAAAAGCAGCCCAAATTAAATTAATGCAGTAATAAGCAGAGACAGCGAAATTAGCTCCGATTTCTCTAAATGATTCTGAACTGTACACAACACCTCATCTCGCTAGAACATTGCCATCCCCCAAAGCTAATCAAGAACCCGGTGCAATTAACTGCTTAATTACAAGCAGGCGTGTGTGCACACGCACACACCCGCCAGAAATTCGACAGGTGGGGAGGATTTCCCCTGGGCCAGCCTGGGGGTTTGGGGGCTGCAGGTCCCCCCAAAATGGCACTGATCGCCACCGCACCAACCACCTGGTTGTTCTAAACCTGAGATGGAGCTGCAGGGGCTTTGGCTTGTCCTAGGCTCAGGCATCCAGAGCATGAGGGATCTGCGGGCTGCGGACAGTGTCAGGTGGCCGGGCCAGGCCGGAGGGGAGAAGGGCCAGCTGCAACACTCTGGACCCTTGTGGGGCAGGAAGGGAGAGGCAGAGAGGGGAGGGCGGAGTGGGGGTGGAGAATGAGGAGCTGGGAGGAGAGAGCCGGAGCTCTGAGTTGTTTATTGCTTGCATCAGAATCTGAGTTGCAACTGAAAAGCTAATTGTCCAGCCGGCTGATTTCCCACAGGGCAGGGAGAGCTGTTAATGGCTTCACAAGTGGCTCAGGTATCTGATTAGCTGTAATTGCAGCTAGAGACAGAAGGGTGAGGATGGGAGGGGGCCCAGGAAGGAGGGTGTGGTGGGCAAGGGGGCTGGGCCCAGGCGCAGGGCACTAGGTGGGAGGGGCCGTGAGCAGAGAAGGTGAGGGAGGAAGCAGAGGTGGCCTGGGAGGGTCCCACCACCCTGTGGTCTGAGGACGCCCCCACCCCTCAGTCTATGGGTCCAGGATCCAGGACTGGTAGGATCCCCAAAGCAACTCCTCGGCCCAGACCACACCATCTCTGGGAGGCCTGCACCTTGGAAGGCCCGTCTGTAAAATGGGGGGACACAGTGGCCTGGCTGGTCCCATGTCCCAGAGCCCAGGCACCAGAAGCAGCCCAGAGCTATGTGCCGTCGGTGGCAGAGACAGGCCCTAGAGCGGCTTCTGTGGGCCTGGACCCCTGCCTGTCTCCCACCCACTCTCCTTGCAGAGCCTGCAGTTGAGCCCGAGTGAGGGGGGCTTTCTCATCCTTGCAGCTCCGGGTGGTTGACTGGGGAGAGGAGGATGCTGATGGACTTGGCCCCCCTGGCCAGCCTCCTGGATGAGGCTCTCCGCATGGGGCAGGCGGAGCACCCAGTGCTTCACACAGGCCAGCCCGTGCCCCTTGCCCTGTCTAGGACCTCTTGACTGCCTTTTACATGAATGCTCACCCGTCTGATCTTCAGCTTACTGATTCATTTACATACACCCACTTTCACTCTGTTCCAAAGGTGGTAGTGCCTCCTTACGCCACTAGCCACTGGCTGGGCCCCACAAGGTGGGCCCCGGGCCCTGGGCACCCAGCCCTCGCAGAGCTGTGCGCCGTGACAGGTGCACTAATGAGTAGGCACAGCGCCCTGGGGAGCCCCGGAGCATCCTGTCCCCCAGGGGGCCCTGGGGGAAGGATGCAAGACTGAGGTGTGGGGGCAGTGGGAGCCGGCTGCCTGAGGAGCCATGGGGACAGCTGGTGGGACCCTAGGGCACAGCTCCTCCCACCTATCAGAGCCATGCCACCCAGGCCATGTGAGCACACCGTGCTGCACACTGCCTTGTGGAGATGGTGGCCACTGATCAGCCCCCGGCCTGGAGTTATAGGGACCTGCCCCCAACCCCACCCCCAGATGCCAGGGCCAGCCCTCAACCCCATCAGGCCTCTATTTTCAGACCTGCAAAATGGGGTCAATCACCAGCTGTACTTTTGAGGAAGGAAAAGGCTCTGGGTGTTCAGGGCCCACTGCCATGCAAAGCGACCCAAGCCACATGCCCAAATTCCAGGCTGGGGAGAGGTGGGGCGAGGGAAGCAGGGGTGGGCGCTCGGGAGGCAGGACCTCTGCTTGAATCAGACAGTGTCTTTGGATGTTGCCACAGGATTTTATTTCCCAGCAGAAAAAAAAGGATTGTTTTGCTCAGGGAAGGGCTCCAGTGAGCTTTCACTCCCGGAGCAGACTGAGGCCCAGAGGCCGCTGGGGGTGGGACCACAGGGTGGACGGGCGGCCCCACATGTCCTCCAGTGGGGGGACTGAGTGGTTGCCACACAGGCCACCCCTCCGTCTCCATCCTCTGGGGCAGGGCCGGCAGGTGAGCTAGGGGTTCGGCGGACTGGAGAGCCACAGGGCACACAGGCGGCCTCAGGCCCTGCCCACGCCAGGTGTGTGGCTGCAGGAGGGGTGGGTGCGGGCGGGCATGGGGTTTTGCTGCCGTGTCTGTGTGCACCTGGAGGCTGCCAGGCTGCAGCCCTCGCCAATTAGGACCGCACTTTACGTGCTTTTAATTTGTCTCCTGGGCCTTGGAAGGAAAGTCATGTGATCAGTAGTATTATTTTTTGGCTGGAAACTCCAGCAGCCATTATATAAATTACATATAATTGAATCCATCAGAGGGAGTTACTTCTAAACATTTATCTCCCCATGCCATCAAGGGGGCCACCCTCCCCAGTCCCAAGGCCCTCTGGACCCCACAGACACCTCACCCTGGGGGCCAGGGGCTCTGAAGTCCATCCCTGGTGGGGTGCACATGCTGCTGCACTGCTGGCATGCTGTGTGACCTCAAACAAGCTGCCTGGCCTCTCTGAGCCTCAGTTTTCCATCTGTGACAGCCTCTGCCCCAAGGGCTAGCAGGAGGTTTCAAGGTGATAAAGCCTGGCAGGGCCTGCTCAGAGGGCTCGATCTCCAGCCGCACTGTGCTGCCCTGTCAGCCTGGAGTGCGGGTGCCCAGTACACAGGGCTTCCTTCTCATCGGGTATGGAAGACACACACACAGTGCAGGAAGGACAGACATGAAGAAGTCTGTGCTGCACTTACAGCCGCTGGACAGGAGGTGGCACACACAGGGTCACACGGGGAAGACAGGGTGGGTCAAGAGGCAGGTGTTGGGGGCCAAGGGATGGAGACTTAGGGCTAGCCAGTCTGAATCATTTCAGGAGCCTGGGCCAGAGGGGCCATCCCTGGTTGTCTGGGTGACAAGGCCCTGAGTGCCAGCCCCAGGTGAGGGGGGCAGGTGGCTCTGTGCTGGCAGTGTGCCTTGGAAAAGCTGGTTCCTAACGGCAAGTGGCTTACTGCTCCAGGACTAGGCTACCTGGGGGGTGCTGTCCTGCAGGGGCAGGGAGGTGCAGCGGTCAGAACATCAGAAACACAGAAAATGTGAGTAAAACGGTGCGCCGCCCGGGAGAGCCCTGAGTGCCCCCAAAGGTTCTCAGCCCACTTTGCTAATACCAGAGTTGCTGGGGACACTGACCCCAGAGGGATGCCACCTGCTTGAGTCACCGGGCATCGGAGCTGCAGCTTCTGGCTGGGGAGAGAGGAAGCAGCTGGCTGGTGGGCTGGGTGTGGGGTGGATGTAAGGCTGGCTCCAGATCTGTGTCAGCTTCAGGAGGTTGTATCTGCCACAGAGCTCTCTGGACAGTCCTGCCCCCTCCAGGCCTCAGTTTTCCTATCTGCAGTGCTTAGGTTAAGGGCTCAGCTCTGAGCTGGCACACACCCTTACCCTGACACATGTGCCTTGGGAACTTACGCGCTGGAGCCAAGAGGTGCCCGAACACCTTGCATATAGTACACAACAGTGGACACCCCCAACACCCCACACCGGCCTGGCAGACCGCATGGCAGGCACAAGCTCACACGGCCGAAGAGGGACGGTGCAGCATGCATGCCAGCCCAGGGGATGGCCAGGCCACCAGGGCTAAGCCAGCAAGATGCAGGACACCACATGTAACAATGCTGTCGTGTGGGGGAAAGGGAGAGATTGGCTTTACTCCCCATGCAACTATAGAGCACTTTTGGATACCCAGAAAGGGATGCAACAGCCACAAGAACAGTGGCCTGGGTTCTGCCGAGAAAGGGAAGCTGCTTTTCCACTCACCCCTTTGCACAGCTGGTGGCAGCTTTCTGCCAGGTCCTGCATTCTTTCTTTTTAAAGATGTTACAAGCTCTTGGAGGGGTATTCCTGGGAACAGTGAAAGCAAAAGTTCACGGGAAGATCTGCATGCGCACACGCACAGCCGCATTCCTCACTTGTGAGACTTCAGTGGACAGGACCCTGTCATCCCTCAGCTGATGGATAAGCACGAAGGGTGCCTCCACACCTTGGAATACTACTCAGCCAGAGGAATGACGTGGCGACATGTGAGCCAACGTGGACGAACCCGGAAGATGTTCTGCACAACGAAAGAAGCCAGACACAAAGAACACGTGTCCCGGTGTGTGATCCTACGTCTATGAAATACAGAAAACAGAGAAATCACGCAGACACAGAAGGCTACGGTTTGGGAGGAAACGGGGAACGAGTGCCCATGGGAACGGGGTTGGTATTTGGGGTGATGATGTTTTCTGAAGCTAGAGGTCCAGTCCCAGAGAGAGGGCTGCCCACCTCCAACCGCTCTCTCGGGGGTGGGGGTAGGGGCCTTCCTGGCCCGACAGGCTCCTGGTGGGGCCACAGTCCTCGGTGGTCCTTGGCAGGCGGGGGCCCTCCCCCCATCCCCAGTCTCTCCTGTCTCACCTCCATCTGCACCCAAGGACACCTCCTTGTAGCTCTGTAAAGGCCCCATTTCCAAACAAGGTCACATCCACAGGAGCCAGACTCCAGGGCTGCAGCATAGCCTGGGGGACATGATTCTGCCCAGAGCCTACATGAATTACATCTCAATAAAGTTTAAGTTTTAGGTAATAAAGTACAAAGAAATTGACCCCGTGCTTGGGAGGCCTGAGCCTAACTCGGCTCTCTGAGTGACCTCAGAGCAGACAAGAGATGGTGCAGGGGAAGGGCCGGTGCCAACCTTGGTCCTGTAAGCGTCACCCCAATGACATGGTAGTGAAAGCAGTGCTAGTGACACCACCGGCCTGTGCCAGGGACTACCGGCCTGTGTCTGGGCCCTCCCTCTCCCACTGGGCCAGGCCCTGCTGGCTCCTGGCCTGGGCCTGGGCTCTGACCCTACACGCCCATCCTGGCCACCTCCCCTTCCCCACCCCTCCTGGCCACCTCCCCTCCCCCTTCTGGCCACCTCCCCCCACCTCCTGGCCACCATACCCTCCCCCTCCTGGCCACAACCCCTCCTTCCCGACCACCTCCTCCTCCCCTACTCTTGGCCACCTCCCCTCTCCCTCTTGCCCACTACCCCTCCCCCTCCTGGCCACCTCCTTCTCCCCCTCCTGGTCACCTTCCCCTCCCGCTCCTGGCCAACTCTCCCTCCCCCTCCCCTCCCCTCCTGACCACCTCCCACTCTCCCCAACCCCCCAAGGCCCTCACAGGTCTGTCACTTGTCCATATCCCCAACTCCTAAAGTAACAACCTGTCACACACACCACCTCATTGCACCCAAAATGTTCTCTGATCTGTGTAAACCGCAACTGATGCTGCGCGGCTTGATATTAATATCTTTTGTTTGTGTGTCAGGGTTCTGCAGGATCTAATTAAGGCGTGTTCTCAGTGTATCCGCGGTGTTCAAACAACTCTGTGGAGCCGGCAGTGCTGGCTGTTGACCTGCACAGATACACGCACGTGTAGAGGATTCGCCACAGGCGGGGACACTGCTGTTCTTTTCTGCCAGGACGCTGCGTTTGCCCCATGTGCGGGCGGCATCAGAATCTTCGCTGGGGGTGTTTATCACAGCAGCGATTTCCTGTGTGTATTTTTGTGCACACCCACACGGGAGCCAGGCCCAGGCAAGCACTCCGGTCTCAACAGCCCCTCCCCTGCCGTGCCCTGCCCCCCTACGATCCCCCAGAGTGGGGCACAGCTGCACCATCGCACAGGTGGGTGGGGCCTGTGAGGAGTGCGTGTTGATTGGGGACGTCGGGTTACCTTGAGGGGGTCAACCTCCGTCCGGTAAGTCCCATCCAGGTGCTCTACCTGGTCTCACACAGCCTGCAGTCCATCCTCCAGAGCAACCCAGGTGAACACTGTCATCGCTCCTGCACAAATGAGAAAATTGAGGCCCAGAGAGGTCGGGCTTGGCCAGGACACACAGTAGGCTGGGGGCAGAGCTGTGCCTTTCCTAACCCCACAGGCTAAGGCCTGGACCCCCTTTTAAAGGAGTCACTTAAGATTGGACAGGGCCAAGAGGCCAAGGCCAGGGGAGTAAGTGTCCTACTGCCTCAGCCATGGGTGACCCGAGCAAGTGCCTGCGTCTCTCCCCCTTCAGTTACTCCCCTAGGAGATAACAGAACCCCTGTATGTACTTCTGTTCCAGGGAACAGGATTCCCAGTAATGGGATCTGTCCGTCAGCTCCTGCCCCGGCCTGCACCGAGGAGGTGCAACTGCATTGAGCCTCCATCACTCCTGCCCCTGCTGTCATAGCTCCAGGGTCTGCCCGACCTGTGGGGGTGCCCTGCAGTGTGCGTGGGTACCGACAATGCCGTTCCACCCCCACCCCCGCTCTGGGTCTGCTGGCCCGCGCCTGCCAGTGCTGCCAAAGAGAGGCACTGGCTCCAGGTTGGAGGGATGTGTCCTGGGCTTCACTCTCCCACCTGCATTGCAAGTTTGGGAGGGGACTGGACCCGACCCTGAGTGCCCGGGATAGAAAAAAACAAACCTGGTCTGCTAAGGGCCGGCTTGGAGAGAGGCTCCAGCAGAACGGGGTGCAGGTTGGAGGATAGCAAAGACTTGCAGACAGCAGGGCTCCGGGTAAGGGAACCAGGGTGACAGCGGACTGAAAGGCCTGTGCCGTCTGCCCAAGTGTACTGGGTGCGGACGGAATAGCCGCGTACCCCGTCCTGTTGTACAACCCAGCGCCTGCCCCGCGCACGGTTGGAAACGCTGCAGCGCCACCTGCCGGGCGCGCCGATCCGCACGCAGAGTGCGGGGGAGGGGGCTCCTGCCCGAGGCCCCGCCCCATCAGGTCCAGGCCCCGCCCGCTGAGGGGCGTGGCCTGGAAGGTCGGCCGAGACCCCCACCCGACGGCACCTGGGAAAGGCAGGCAGCGGGTCTCAGCTTTAGGGGTCCCCGCGGCAGGTGAAGCGCGCGCCTGCAGAGCACTGAACTCATCGTGGGTGCCATTATCCCGCCAAGTGGCCCGCTCTACAGGAGTGGACACCAAGTCCTGGGCAGCAAGGTCAGGCGCCCGGGTCCCGCGGCCCAGGGGCAGAGCTGGGCGCAGAGTGTGCTCGACAACGGCCAGGACACTGAAATGTGTGTGCCACTGTAACAGTGACCTTCAAGAACCTGTGCGCCCTTTGCAACAGGTGCGTGGGCGTCCCATTCCGAGAGAGCTGCAGAGGTGGGCCAGATCTAGGACAGCTCTCCAAGCATGGCACCTGCCGTGGCAGCGGTGTGGGGTAGAGGGCAGGAACTGTCAGCATTTCAGAGCAAAGCAAATAGTCAGGAGTGGGGTGGTGGGGGTCACCTCCCAGGCAGGATGGCGAGGCAGGGGTCCGCCTTGCAGCTGCACCTCATGAGCTTTCAGCACGTTCTTGACCCTCGATGGGACTCAGTTTCCCCTCTGTACCAGGGGCAAGGGCTAGAATAGATATGTGCTCAGATTCTGTCCCTGCCTCTAGACCCGTGAAGGGGTGAGCTGATGCAGGGATCCAGGTGCTGGGGTCTGTGATCCTGCCCAGCCCCATGGGGTCCCTGCTGGCCATGGCTGTCACTGGTGGGAAGTTTGAGCACCTCTGTCCCCCACTGCCCGCATCTCCAGCTGTGGCCCAGTCCCCCACCCTTGTCCCCTCCAGTGTCCCACTTGATAGGCATCTTGGAGCACTGGGGGATGCCAGGGTCAGATGGCATCAGCCTAGGTGTCAGCCCAGCTAGAGGGCCAGACAAGCACATGGCAAGCCCTGAACTCAGCAGCACCTGGGGGTGGGAAGAGGAGGGGGCAGCAGCTGACCTGGCTCAGCAGTGTCCCTGACAAATGTGACTTCAGCCCCGTCCTTCTGCCCCACCTCCTCTCCCAGCCCCAGATCCCTGTGGTCCCAACCGCCCATCCACCAGCTACCCTGTCACTCAGGCGTCATCACACCCCAGCTGTGCCTCTGGGTGTGTGGCCTTGGACAAGTTGCTTCACCTCTCTAAGCCCCAGCTGGAAAATGGGCTGACACCCCAGGCTGGCTACGGCCTGAAGCACAGGGCAGATGAAGTCCAGTCTGAACACAACCTGTCTCAGGAGGCCCTGCTATGTGGGCAGTGCTGGATGCCACGTTGCTGCTGTCCATCCCACCCTGTGGCCAGTGTGGGGCCAGGCCAAAGTACCCTCACATGCCCCACTTTACAGATGGGCAGGTGGAGGCTCAGAGAGGCCATGGATTCGTGATGGGAACAGACGGGCAGCCCACGAGTCCATGGTAAGCAGGGCTGCAAATGGGTCACTACAGCCCATCCTCAGGCCCAGGGGTCCCCCAGTCTCAAACCTGGCCTGGCCCAGGTGCTGACTCGGGCGCCTGGCAGAAGGAAGTCCAGACACTTCACAGATGCTTGGAATTTGGCTCCTCTCCCCAGAGAGTGGCACAGCCAGGCCCTCAATCCATTTTACAAACAGGCTGCCTAAGTCTGAGGCAGATCCGGGGAGCCTCTGAAGGCTGCTGCAGGCTGGATACACTGTGGGTAGACTGGCACCCTGACCTGCTGTCACCTAGCACGTGGCACATGAAGCCCCTTTCGCCCACTCATACCCCCACGCAGATGCACACGTGCAGGTCTCTTGGGACCCAGATAATAGCAAAAGCAGAGGGGTCAGGGACCTGCTTTCCTCCATCCTTAGGTGGGGAAGGGTGTCAGATCCCCCCACAGTTCAATCCCCAGCCTGCTCAGGGCAAGGAGGCCTGAGACCAAGAGGCTCAGAACTGACTGTGATATCCCTCCAGGCTGCAACCATTTGCCTGATTCCCCCGCAATGCACACAGACGCACCCAAGTGTACCCAGGATCACATCTGCCCCCCTACTGACCTCAGGCGCATCTGTCAGGCTAAGTCAGGTAACTGCTTTTGTATGTGCAGATGCTAGGTGGCCAATATAACCCTACAAACTTCCCTTGTGGCTGTTGGATGGGTGGGTGGGTGGGTAGGTGGATAGATAGAACAGATGGTGGAGGGAAGGGGGTGATGAGCAGAGAAACTGAATCTAAGGGAGGGTCCATGCTCTGCTAACACCCCTCGTTTCATTGTGGAGATGGGTCCCTGTAAGCCCTGCTAGGAACCCCATTTTATAGACAAGGGAACTGAGGCATGAGGTGGGGAGTGACTGGTGCAGGGTCGCACAGCGAGCTCTCAGTCAACTCAGGACCTTTCCTCATGGAGGCACATGCCTGGCCTGGGTGGGCACAGGTGGGGCTGGCACACAGCAGCACACAGGCCCTCAGAGCCCCCAGATGTCCTGCCCCAGGTGCCCACCTCCTCTCCTCAGCCTGCATGCCAGGCCTCAGTGCTGGAGAACCACCTGCTCTACTGGCTCTCCAGAGCCCCCTTGCAACCTGGTCCACACCCAGGGGGCTCAGGAGCAGGGCATGGAGAAATGAGGCCAAGGAGTTAACCCCCAGGCCCTCCCCGAGCCCCCCTCCAGCTCCCAGCTCTGTCAGCAGCTCACCATCCACCCAGGCATCCACTCTAGAAATGGGGGTGCTCCTGGCCCCGCTCCTCACCCCCCTGTGAGTTCTAAACCTGACCCCTGCATGCCCTCCCTTCATTGTCCTCCGGCCACCCCAACCCCTCTCCTGCACCCCTCCCGGCCAGCCTTACAGCACCCTGTCGCGGCCGCTGCTCCCCACCCATGTGTCTCCTGCTGCCCCTCCAGCCACCTCCCCAGGCGGCCAGACTCATTCTCAAAACCCAAATCTGATGACGGAATCTTCCTCCCAAACCCTGAACCCCAGTCCTACCGGAAGGAAAACCCCAGACAAACCCAAATAGAGGGGCATTTTGCAAAATACCCCACACTCCTCAAAACTACCAAGGCGGTCGAAAGCCAGGGGGCCACAGGGCAGAGGTGCCCAAGGAGACAGGCCGGCGAAATATCGCCCAGGATCCTGGGTGGGATTCTGGAGCAAAGGAAAGAGATTAAGGGGACAGGGGGTGTCTGATACGGGGCAGGGCTGGAGGGCCAGGAGCAGACACACCCGGGCAGCAGACAGTTCTGCCGGCCACCTGCGGCCACTCTCCGACTTCTCTGGGCATGTCTGTAAACCCAAATTACTCTAAAATAAAAAGTTTCTACTAAAAAGGGATCACATACAAGGGGTCCAATTAAAATACAGCGAAATGTTCGCATCTGCTTAATCTTGGCGGTGGGTCAGTGGGCATCTGCTGTATTACTTTCCTGTGTATTTGATGTGCCTCATAGTAAACATTTAAGACAAAAACAAACCCAGGTCTAGAACGTCACACCCTGACCTGACACCCCCACAAAGGGTCCCTGGAGCCCTTAGGATAGGATCCCAAATTCTGAACCCAGCCCACAGCACTAACAAGGCCCCCTCCCCTGACATCACACAGCACCTGTGCCTTCCCCTCCACCCGGTTCTGGCCCTCAGCCTGCAGCTCTCAGGGCTCCAGCATTGGGAGGAAGTCACCGGTCCCAGTCCCCCAGTGCAGTCACCTCAATAGACATCATCAGTGTGGTTCACAGAGCCAGAGCCAGGGGCCACCTGTGAGGCAGGCATCATTCCCTATTTCAGAGATGTGGAAACAGAGGCTGCCCAGTAAGGAGGGGTGTGGACTGGAGTCCAGAGTGTCTGTCTCCAAGACCAGGATTCTATGCCAATGGCCTCCAGGGCTTGGTTTCCACCCACCAAGTATTATACAGGCCAAGGGCCAGCCTCAGGCCCAGCCAGGTTTGGGATAAATTGTCAGGACCCTGTTACTTCCCGGCCCTCGGGCCTTCCCTCTGCTCACAGGCTCCATCTGGCCACCCTGGCTTCCACCTGGAGAATCTGCCCCAGGGCCTTAGCACCTGCTGCCAGGCCAGGTGTGCTCCACCCTCAGAGAGGCACACCCTGATGGTGGGACCATGTGCATCATGCCTGCTCTGCTGGCTGCTGGGGGTGGACCCACAGTCTGGGCTACAGCACAGGAAACCAAGGCCCAGAGAGCAGAAGCCTCTCAGATGGGGTCAGGGACAGCTGTCATTTCTCTCAATATGTCTTAGCAAAGTTCACGTATGCACATATGTTCACATGCACAAAAACCCACGAGTGACCACATGTGCATGTGCACACACAGGTGATCCCAAGTGTGCACACACCAGGGCTGGGGGGACCCTGGCCCTGAGCCGGGCTTGTGGGCAGCTGGCCAGGCCTCCCCTACTTGGAAAGCACATGTAGGGTATGATGAGGCAAGTGTGTGACCCATGGGTGTCCTGTGCCGGGAGTCATAGCCTAACACAGTAATACATGTATGTGACACAGTCTGTGCCATATAGCATGCTGACAGGCGAAGGGTGTCATCTCCACTGTGTAAGTATGGTGTGGAGCACATGCGGCATGTGCAAAGGTATGTGCTGCACGGCAAGAGGGCTGGTGAGGTGGGTGTGTGGCAGCCATTATGTCAATGAGGTCAGCACATGTCACAGGACGTGAAACGCGATGTGACTTTCTGCACACAGTGTGTGCTGGCACTGTGGCTAAATGTGATGATAGATACATAACATGAAGGAACGTTATGAATCAATCGATCAATCGATTAATTAGTTCATCAAAATATTACAAGCTCCTACTAGGTGCCACGCCTGGGGGTACAACAGCAAACAGATGCATCCTGGACATGATGGGGCTTGTGTTCCATTGGGGAGGCTGGCTATATGCAGGC